CCCTTATTCTGCATTAAAACAACCCCCAATACACCATAGCACGCATTTGTTTCTATCACAAAGGGAATAGTAAAATCTAGGAGAGCCAATACAGGCGCAATACACATAGCAAGTTTTAATTCTTGGAAGGGCATATCAGTTGTCCACTGAAACTTATCCTTCTTCAAAAGATCTGTTAGTGGTCTGGTCATTGCCACATATCCCCTCACAAACCTCCTATAATAACCAGTGAGTCCTAAGAACCCCCTTAATTGTTTGACATTTATAGGTGTAGGCCATTCTTGCATAGCAACAATCTTGGAAGGATCTATAGAAACCCTTTCAGCTGTGATAATATGCCCTAAGTATTCCGTCTTGGATTGCCCAAATGAACACTTACTCCTCTTAGCATAAAGTTGGTGCTCCCTCGACAATTTTTTTTTATAGGTAATCGCGTAATTTTATAGATAAAATCAAAAGATAATACACAAGGAGTGCATTATTAGTTTAAACAAGATAGAAACGATAAAAAAAATCGGCAACCCTTCTATCGAACTAATGGTTATAGCCTTAACCCAACTATACAAAGTCAAATAACCCTTCTATCGAACTAATGGTTATAGCCTTAAACCAACTACACAAAGTCAAATAAAACAATTCCCTAAATTGCTCTGTCGTCCGTATTTGGTCTTCAAAGCATCCGCCGTTTCGTTCTCTCCACACACACCAAACAATGCATCCTGGAATGAGATCCCACACGAGCTTGCTATTCTTATCTCGAAACTCTCTTCCATGCACACACCACCACCTCCTTGATACGCCATGGCAACACCCAACTCATATGTTGCGAAGCCAGAATATCATTCCACATCCAACGAACACCGTCACAATGAATGAACAAATGATCGATCGTCTCGCCATCCCTCTTACACATATAACACCACTCTATAATACAATATCCCTTTCTTCTAAGATTATCCGCCGTTAACACGTCCCCTTACCACCGTCCACAGTAAAAAAGCCACCATTGGAGGTAATTTACTTTGTCAGACCCTTTGCCAGGGGAATGAGCTTTCAACAGGTTCCAATAAGGATCTGAAATAAGTACGAACAGAAAACAAACCATTCCGTGCCGCCCTCCACCTGCTACAACCGTCATCTCCCACCTGAATGTGCACATCATACAGAGATGCCAAAAACAATGCATAGTCATCCAGTTCCCCAGTTCTCTCTTGGTTTGGAAATCAGACGGTGTAATAGCTTTGAACTTCAAAAGGTTGCTTGGGTTCCTTGTATTTGGTTAAGTAAGGGGTGTGTCTTTATAGGTTGTTTCAACTGGTTTGATATTAGGATGGGTCCATTTGGCTTGAATATAAAGTTTATAGGTTTTGGCTCCTTTATTTATTGGCTGTAATTGTGTTCTTCTGCAAAAGAGCCACTTCAAAAGCTTTAGCTAAGATTGTAGGTTTAATGATTTTCACTATAGATTTCATCGCCTCTTACAGGTCACTAGTGATATGTAATAGGATTCAGGTAGATGAGACAGTGATGAAGATGAGGCAGTGATAATATCACCTGTGATTTTAGTTCTTCAAATTGTTCCTGGTATTCAGAAATAGGCCCTTTTTGCCTTAGTTTGCTAAACACTTCAATTACTTCTTCAACTGTGTTTTTTGCAAATCGCCTACATATTTCAGTGGAAAATGTTCCACTTGGAAAGCTAGCTATAAATGCATGAAACCGTATATCTGTTTTTCCTCTCAAATACATTTTAGCAATGCCCACTTTCATCTCCTCAGGCACTTAGTGGATCGAAAAATACTTCCCAGCCTTCCTTATCAATTATCTAGGACCCTCCCCACTGAATTACGGAAAATCAATCTTAGGAATGTTTGTGTTCAACCTATAATCACCCTACTATTTCTTTATGAAGAAGAATCCCCTGTCACAGTGCTTATCACTCCCCCATCCGACAAAATGGGAGTCTGGAGACCCTCTACTTGTATTCCTTTGCCATTTCCTTGGGATGAAGAATTTCCAAGGCCAGAATTAACTGATCCTTCACTCATCTTAGCCATCATCCCTACAATATTTTCATATTTTTGTTCATCTCCACTATTAACCCTTCGAGTGTATCGTGTCTACTGCAGAGATGCTTCACAGCTTGGCCCGTGCTTTGATAGGCTACACCCAGCTTGCCCAACTCCTTATCAATCATTTTAATATGTTTTTCCTGGCTCTTGTTCCAGGTTTCCATTTCTTCACAGCTCACGTACTACTCTGATACCAAATGTAATGGTTGAACCCTATGTTGCTCGGACTCGGGTACGGGTATCAGGTACGGGTGTGTATCTAAGTATCGGATCCATTATTTTCTAAAATATAGGATACGGGAATATGACTAAAAAGAGTCCGAATTTTGGATACGGGTACGTGGGTACGTCTTTCAAATTTCAATTTTTTTTATTAACCCCAGATGTCATTTTAAATAAACCAAAATCAATACTTCACAAAGAAGGAAATGAGTATTGAATTAGAAGTTAAAACGAATAAAATGAAATTTTGGAGTTTAGTTTTCAATTATGGAAAGTTAATTACTAAATGTTATATAAAATAGGAAATGAGAGATTTGATTATAATTTAAACTTAATGGAATACTAAGTTGCACTATATGGAACCCATTTTCATTTCATACAAAGAAAACCCTAAACCATCGATTCACTATATGGAACCCATTTTCATTTCAAACAAAGAAAACCCTAAACCATCGACATGGAGAGGAAAGAAGGAAAAAAAAGAAGAAAAGACAAGAGAAAAGATAGAAGAAAAAGAAAGGAAAATCTTATGCTGTCGCCGAAGAAGAAAAGGGGAAGGAAAAAAAAAAGAAAGAATAAAAAGAAAGAAACAGAAACAGCGAAGTGACTGGTTGAAATTTGAAGGATCCGACACATATCCCATACCCATACCCATGTCGTGTCGTATCCGACACGGGTACTTCGTCCATTTCGAAGAGTCCGAGCATCAGAGGTTGAACCTCAACACGACACCAATTTCACACTACCTGGAATTAATAAACTCAAATAACAAATTGAATTTTATTGCTTACTGAAATAAACTGCAACAACAGAAGGACTACATGAGAATTGATAAAGAAAGGGAAAGAGATAGAAGAAAGACTTGGGGAAGAAGAATCCAATTCACATCACAATCCCCTCTATTTCCCGAATTACAGCTTTTATAACCGACATCGTTTATTTCTAAAACAAAATGACATCATTTAATTTCCATCCAAACGACGTCGTCCAAACATCTGAATTTGAATGTTGGGTATGACCGTTAGCCCTCGTCTTCCTCCCTGTGTCCTGCATCTGCTCAATTTCTTCATTTGCCGCCACTTCCATTGATTCTCTTCTTCTCCTACATAACATTAATGTACACATTAATGCAGTTAGTGGTATGAACCCTTTCTTCCACAACGTTTTTGTTTCTTCTGGGTTATCTGCTAATTTGATTTTAGTTGGAAAGCTAGTGGATAATAATTGAAATGTTTCCTTATCTCGTAGTGGTTTTTTTTTGCAGGATCAGGAATTGGGAAAGTGAACGCGAAAAGACCTAAAGTGGAACGGTTGTTTCTTCTACAATTTTCTATTCCTAGCATTTTATCTTTGGCTTGTACTAACGTAAGCAGTCAGTGTAAGGTTTAACAAAAGCAATTAGGCCATCCCAATTCTTTGATTTTACCACGTTTGTTTAAGTGTGGTTTTTCTGAGTAATAAAGATCTAATTCCTACGTTAGAATTTTCTGTTAATTGTACTTGCAAATCTGGTCTTTGCACCAAACACATCTAGGTTGATTGTTACTATATTCGTAAAGCCTATGACGAGAAAATACTTACTCTTCCCATATCTCTACTAACCTTCAGACCGTTGATGTCTTTACCAAGACTTTACCTCGACCATGACATCAGTTTCTAGTCCGCAAATTGATGCTTCTTAATCAGGTCGCATCAATTTGAGGAGCATATCAATGGGATCTACAGAATCAGTCATTGACAAAATAATTGGCATATTATAATTGACAAATTGCAGAGTAATCGGCAGATTGCAAGATCCAAAATTGGTAAATTGCAGAATTCATAATTAGCATATTTTAATTGGCTTCTATAATTAGCAGATTCTATTGAATCTTTCTTACCTTATTTACATCAATTGTACTTATTGATAGAGATTATTTTCCTTTATTAGCTTTGCTAAATATGGCTGTAAATATATACTTTCCATGTAAAGCTACCAGAATTTTCTATATAATGGAATCCTCACAATGGTGAGAGGCATTAGTCAAAATTTGTTAACTTCTTCGTACAAATACATGGACAAGTTACAAACAGTTGAACAATGGTTAAAAGAAACTTGGGATGCAAATATATATATATTTTTTTATAACCGAGGACGTCCGGGCCAGCTTGCGCGCACCGCGACTAATCCCATGGGGCCCTGAAGTTTACGACCGGTACTCACCTCAGTGACCGTGGGGGGACTCGAACTGATAACCACTGTGGAGCAAACTCAAAGCCTGACCAACTTGGGATGCAAATATATACCAACAAAAACAACATTTGTCGTCCCTTCAACCTGCCACCTCCTCGCTACCATTCATCGGCCCCATTCATCAGTCATCATTTTCCTTCTTCATCATTGACCCCATTCAAAACTAATTTTGTTTTGACAGTTTTGCCAAGTCAAAGGTAAAGAAAGTAAAAGTGAAAGCAATTGTTACTCATTTCTTTTTCTCCTGGCATCTTCAGTAATATTAGTATCTATTTACTTAAACAAGCAATATAGTTCATCCTAAATAGCAGTAGAAGTACAAAAAAAAAGGTTCTGCACCAATTAGAAACAAGCCTATTATTTTGCCCTTTTACTTTCAGGGTAGGTCATCAACAGTTTGAGGTCACAGATCCCATTGACAAGATATTACAAGGCAAGTTTAAGAAATAGATGAAAAGGTAAACTATATTTACCTTGATATTACTGACAATGGATTGGGCATCAGCAACAGGTGGCTGAAGAGAGTACTCAGAAAGAAGAGGCATTAAAGAAGATACAAACATTGATCTGTCTTGTTGTGCAGCCTGAAAAAATAAAAAAGATAATAACAAAAGATAAAAAAATATGAACCTGAGAATATATGGTCATACTCGTTCAGAAGAGAAAGGACAAGAGTTGGTGAACTGACACTTGCCTTATTTGTCTTCCATGTTATTAAACAGTATCACAGAGTATATATCATTACATTTTTACATTTAGCAATCCCACATGGATGTATTAAATTTACAAACTGTAAGAACAAACTTGTAGTCTATGTGCACATAAAAGCCAGGGAGATGAGAAGGCGAGATAAGAATGGGAAGATGTAAGTAAACGCTATAAGTAATGATGTAACGATCTGGCCTCTATGCTCAAAGCATTAACTAAATTATTGTCCGCAATGGAAGAGTCTATGTTCATCTTACTCCTCATTGATTTCTATCTTGGTACCAGAATTCAACTTAAATCTCTCTTAAGGGGAGGTCATGTATTCAAATTCTGGGGACGTGATAGAAATCCATTAGTAAGATGTGCTCAAACTCTCTTATAGAAGACAATATGTAAGTTAATGACTTGGGCGTCGTTACAAAAAACATACATGTTTTGTAACGACCCGACCTCGCGCCCAACTATTCTCATACGTACTGCCCGCTATGTGAAGAATATTCCCTATTACTCTATCCAATTGGTATCAGGATTCAACTTAAGTCTTTCCTAAGGGGAGGTCATGTGTTCGAATCCTAGGAGACACGACAGAAAACCATGAGGGGTAAAAGTGAAGATTCTCTCCCAAAGGGGACATTACATTAGAGAACAGTCGAGCACGAGGCCTCTGCGCTGAGGCTATTAACTTACATACTATTCGCTTTGGGAGAGCCTAAATCCATCTTACACCTAACGGATTTCTATCGCATCATCAGGATTCTAACCCTTGACATTTACCTTAAGAATGACTTAAGTTACATCCTAGTACCAGCTATTAACTTACGTACTGTCCGCTTTGAGAGAGTTTGAGCCTATCTTACCTCTCACGAATTTCTATAGCGTCCTCAGGGTTCGAACCCTTGACCTTTCCCTGGAGATGACTTGAGTTGAATCCTCTTCAAGAGCGAACAGTACGTAAATTAACGGCTAGGGCGCATAGGTAGGATAGTTACAAATAAAGTTGAAAGGAGGTAAAGAACCACCTCACTCAACTATTATCTATGACAAAAATTACAATACGACATCTACATACAACTTAAATAAGTCGGTTGCTTTTAATGATACTCAAATTTAAGTGTCGACATTCATGTATATCATCATACGGATGAAAATTAACATCCATGAGAGTTTGGACTCAGTGTCGTTCCTATTTGCATGTTTGTCGAAGCTAATTTTATTTTTTAAGCGGGTCAAACATACTTTTATCTTTACATTTCGTAGGACCTACAACTTACTACCAACTAATTATACCCACATTCCATAGGATTAAAAGCATGATGAAACAAGCACTATATATCCCCAAAAGTGTCAGCCAGAGAAGCATCTTTTCAGGAAACAACAGCATCAACCAATTCAAAAGGACAAAACATAGCTAAGATACACAAAATATTGGAGGAAAAAAAACTTTTACCAGAAAAAGAAGATTATACCTGCAATGCATATGTAAGACGTACATTCTCCTCCATTATATCTTGTCTGTAGGCAATTGCTTTAGATGCAGCATCAACCAGATCCTGTTGTTGCTGATCAAAGGCCTTAGGAAAGAATTAAATGCACACACTAATCCTGTCAATTTCCAGAAACAAGGAGAAAGGATATCTTAAAGAAGTTATAAAACATAAATCCTGCCTACCGTACGCATATATGCAATGCGCTTCTCCAGGATATATTTCTCATTGCGAATTTGTGATTCCTAGCCAAAGAATATAATAATCACCACAATAAGAACATAAAAGTAGAAGCATGGAATACTATGAAAAGATGCTCAGCTTAGTACCTTGACTGAATATTCTGCAAGATATTTTTTCAACTGCATAATCTCGTCTGCATGTTCCCGAATCTTTACAACAAGATCCTACAGAGTTACATTCACAAAAGTGATGCTAGAAATAAAAGGATTGCATGCAACAGAAAGATTCTATTTTTTTAATAGAATAAGAATTATAATAACAGGAAGAAATATAATAGCTTTGGCTCTTAATGTCAAATGTTTAAGAATGATAATTCTTTTGTTCATGAGATAATACCTGCTTTGGGCTATTAGAATTATTAACATCAGCCATTGAAATCAAACCCCTTCCAGATACATTGAGCTGTGAATCAAAATCCCTTTCTAGTTGGTATCTATAAAAGCAACAAATATCCCATGTGAATTAACAACCAAGATAGCAACCATGGATATCACTTGCAGACCATGTTATTTTCTTCACTTATTTCCATATATTGTACCTGCTAGGAGCAACTGATTGCGTAGATGGAGAGACGAACTGGGAAAGGCCAGAATTATCGGATGTCACTTGACCACTAGGAATCACTTTCACTGATCCATTGACCTTGCTATTATCTGAGTGGTTTTCAATATAAGTGTGCATCCCACGATCCATTTCACTTTGCATCAAATCTTGCTGAGAAACAACTGTACTTGATAAATCTTGTCCAGAATTGATGTGCATCTTTCCAATCCCACCTATCTGACTTTCCAAACCCAAAACTAGATGATCAACTCTACGATCATCAGAATGAGGAATTTGAGATTTTAAATCACCTGATTTCTGCCAAGTATAAGGAATTAGATACTATATTTTGGGTTACAAAATGAATTTTTGCAAGCAATGAAGTAAATATGCACAAAGGATGTTGAGGATTGTAAGAACATGGAGGTAAGACGTGAACTTCAATACATGCAAGAGTCCATCAAATTCGAGGCACTGTGAAATGTGAATAATGGAAACAAATTTCAACCAAAAGAATGAATTTCTATTCCAAGTAATATTTCATTTCATAACATATGGATATAGCAGCAAGTTATTAAAGAACTCTAAGTCTTACCCACCACAGTTGCAATACTGCACGTCCCTCATAATGTGCACGATCCCATTCTTTTTTTCTTTTCTTTTCTTTTCTTTTCTTTTTTTTTTTTTTATGTCACTTTCGGGGGCTACACCAAGGGGACGGCAGGTTAGTTTTGTTCTGTTTAATCCTTCTTTTTAGAAATTCATGAAGGCCACATGAGACCAGACAACACTAATGGAAGATAACGTATCTCCAAAAAACCAATAGTAGATGTAAGGGCATCCTCCTCAATATCATCGAGCCCTTACTTTGTTAGTTTCTTTGAGGATGTATACGGCGACTAATGTACGAGTGAAAGATGTGACTATCTTCTTTAACATTATTATAATATTCATTTCAAGCATCATTACTTTTTCAGGAAAAAAAACATTTTAAGAAGGTTAAAGCAATTTAATTCCAAATAAATGACTAGGGATCAACAATGAACCCTATGGAACGAAACTGGAAATTCAAATACACTTCCAAATCCGAGATTCGGCATTATTTATGTTCAGAAATGGAATTCAAACTTTGGAATCTTCACTCCTCAATAATTCTACCATTTGTCTATTTGTATTATTTACGTTTTAGTACCACTACAGATAAGAATCCAGTTTCAAGGACAGCAGTTATGGATCCTCTCTCCACCCCCGCCATGACTTCTATAGATTGGCTCATTTGATCATAGAAAATCATCATAGTTTCTCAAAATTGCAACTAAGCCTTTACAAACTCTTTTAAATCCTGTCCCAATAGGGTTTCATAATTCGAAAAGAGAGAGAGTATTTCCTATCTATGGTTTAAAGTCAAAAATTTTTAAAAATAAAACAGATATAAAAGCAGCATAGAGGAAAAACAAGCTCATGTAATAATTATTAATCATATATTGTGTTATATTTTACTACAATCTTANAACACGATAGAAATTTGTGAGGGGGTAAAAGGGCAGATGTCATCCTAGAACGGATAGTACATAAATTAACGACTTGAACATAGAGGTTGGGTCATCGAAGAGATATCTATCAGAATGATACTCTTGCTGATCTATTAACAAGTAGATCTATGCCAAGAGAATTAGTAATGTGTCAGGAGAAAGTAGTACAAGAAGCAATGGATACACTTCTCGATAATGGAATCCGTGGACAACCAATGAGGGGACGGTCATAATAAAGGTCACAAGTCATTTTCAGATGTAATTGATGGTAAGGAGAGAAGATTTCGTAACTCTGCTCGGCAAAGAGGTCAATTATTCTGGCCTTCCGTCATTGTCGTGGGCCCCTCACTTTCATTACATCGATGTGGATTGTCGAGCGAAATAACAATAGAACTTCTCCAAACATTTGTATCTTGATTTAATTAGACATCTTGCTCCGAACATAGTAGTTGCTAAGAGTAAAATTCGAGAAAAAGAACTGATTGTCTAGGAAACATACTTCGGGAAGTTATGCACACACATTTTTTTGTAACGACTCAACCTCTATACCCAATGAGTTAATTTACGCACTGTCCGCTCTGGGAGAGGATCTGCCCTCTTACCCCTCACGGATTTCTATCGCTTCCTCAAAATTCGAACACATGACGTCTCCTTTAAGAGAGACTTAAGTTGAATCTCTTATCAACGACTTGGAAATGGAGGTTGGGTCATTACACAAAGAGCCCCAGACCAGATATTCAATGGTCCGCAACTACCTCTACTGCATTTCTGAAGTTGTGTGTTGCATAGCCAGACCAATCACTATGTGTTCGCTTAGATTGAAACAAATTAACATCATTGAACTAGAATAAGGTCAAAGTGAAAGTTATTAGGGAGTGTAAACGCTTTGATGACTACAGTAAACATGGGAAAAAGTGCAACACGGGTCCCATGTAAACCTTTGAACCTTTATATAAATGCTTCTAATTCTCTCTCTCTTCCAGACTTCTCCGAAATTGAGTTGTATACATCCTCAAGCTTCCTTCATAAATCCATTAAAACTTTCTTCATTTAAGGAAGTAAAATTATTAATCAAAAGAATAAATTACAGTGCCTAGAGGAAAAGATATCCTATATCCAGGAAACTAGAAAATAAATAAGAAAGTACTTCTTACAATTAATAAAAATTAAAGGAAGAGGAAAACCCTTAAACTCTTTAGCTACAAGGCCCACAGAGACACTAAAGTTAATGGGAAATAGATTTTAGTCTCAAGTATTATGCAAGGACTAGCCACGTCAAATGAATTCTCATATTCTGCTTCAATACATACATAAAAGAAATAGTAAACACAATTATCTTTACTATCATGGCATTACAATATTTCGTGATATAAAACGTTGAATCTACCACAACCAAAATATGTCATGCGCACGTTATATTTAGCTATTAACAGGGCAGATAAAGTTGTACACGGGCATGCAAAATTATAAGAACAAGCAACCTAGATATACTTCAAGAAAGCACATAGGTGCTTGAGCTTGAGAATGCCCATGAATTCATCATTATAAAAATGAATATGCAGTAAGAGATGTGACAAACATGCGATAATAAAATCAATATATAACGAGATTTTTTCTCGTTTGTGAAATAGAAAATAAAATGGAATATGACTGAAATAGTTAGAATGCAAGAGCTCTCACATAGTTCTTAAGTTCCTCAATCTTTTTCTGAAGTTCAGATTTCAATCGATTGTTCTCTTCCACCTGTGGACAGAAATACCATAAACTATAAGTAGACTATTGTAGACCATCAAATTAATGAGTAAAAATTTATCAGTTAGCACGACTACTATTCAAAAAACTTTCCAATGGCATATTACATTTGATCACTCTATTTCTCATTACATAATAGTTAAGTCATTGAACACTACTGGAAAGCGATTTCGGGAATAAGACTTCCAAGACTAGCAATATTTGTGCAAACTGCAAATCAAACAAGCCATTCTCACTGCTGCTGCGTGGCTGCTGTTCAGGTGACAGCAAGGTCAAGATACTTGCACCATATTGCTTGGTGTGGGTCCTTTTAGGGAAGTCCAACAGAAGACCTTTGATGGCACAAAGAATCCTGTTTCTAAACTAATGAGCACTTCCATTTTTTCACCTTTTACTCTTCTTTGAAGTAAGCTATTTTGTATTTGACAGGTGGTATAGGTGGGTTCTCAAGTTGCATGCATCTTGTTCACAGAATTTCACCCATCTTTACAGATATTTAATTAATTTATTAAAGAAAACGGGAAAATCAACATATTCTACATTCCCCTCCCCCAAAAAAACACTATTTTTGATTTTAACAGGCTTTAGTGTTTCGCACTGTAAACAGTGGCACATAAAACATCAGTGCTCCCCCACTAGGGGGGTAGGCAAAAAGTTATAACACATGTACCCTTCGAGAAACAGACTTCCATGAAACTTCGAACTAACTTAATCTTGGTTTGACATTCAATGTTTCACTTCTATTTACAGCAGAAGAAGTTCTAGTAATAAAACAAAGAGGATAGAAAGCGGGAAATCAATCCTCGAATGTCAGAAGATAAAATAATAATCATAAAATAGAAATTAATGGTAGATAAATACTTATAGAGTCAAAGAACCAGGAAACAAAAAAGTGGAAAGTGAAAAAATTTAGATGAACCAACAAGTTCTCTAAGCCCACTAAGACAACAAGAAACCAATCTATCCAACAAAGATCAAGTAACATATAAGTAGTAGAAAAATTTAAAAAGAGAGAGAGAGAGAGAGAGAGAGAGAGAGAGAGAGAGAGAGTATTTCCTATCTATGGTTTAAAATCAAAAATTTTAAAAAATAAAACAAATAGAAAAGCAGCATAGAGGAAAAACAAGCTCATGTAATAATTATTAATCATGTATTGTGTTATATTTTACTACAATCTTACAGTTTTTAGTAATTTATTCAAACTGATTGGGGACAAGATTTCAGAACCATGTCAAAATACTGAAATACTCGTGGCATGTCACAGAGAATTTCATGACCCTACACCGATGAACAAAATGGCAGAGTTAAGAGAAAAATCAGGCATATGGTGGAGAATGGCTCAACTCTTTTAGCTCATTCTTTTATTCCTATAGCTTATTGTTTTATGCTTTCCAAACTGCACTACACTTGGTGCTTGTTTGGTACAACTTAAGAAGTTGAGGTCAAAGTCAACAATTAATAATTTGATATTAAACACACGTTTCATAGTAGAACCTACAACTTTTATCAATTTTTGAACCACATATTTCATCAACTTATAAACACCTCAAAGTTCTTGGTCAGTTGGCTGTTCTCGGTCTCTTTCTTAGGCCTTACACCCAACACAAGATGATGTTCCGACTTTCAGAGTCATAGAGTGTATTCTTGGGTACAACTCTCAGCATTAGAGATAACATGCCTAGATTCCCTCCTCTGGTAGAGTTCATGTCTTCATATATGGAGTATTTCACGACGTCTTTCCCTTTTGCTGTCGTTCAATATTCAGCATCATCTGCTACAGTTCTGCTCCTCCATTGTCTTCTTTCACTGGCCCTTCAAACGTCACTTCTTCTCAGCCCCATCAAAATAATCTGGGGCAAGATGGTTCATCCTAACCACAGATCTTGATAAGAACCTTGTTTCGAGGCTTCAAAAGGGTGCTGGAGAACTGAGATGGTGGCTTACAAAGAATACCATGATGGGAAGTGGCAGATTTGAAACATGACCTATGTGATAATATCAAAAATGAGAAAAGGGTGGGAGGGCTGGTTTTGTGAGTCTTCTGAAGCGCTGAAAATGGCTAGATGAGCCTGTGTCATTTCAATTTGATCCACACAACGTTTCTGCTCCAACCTAAACCCGGTAAAAAATTGGCTGTGGATCTCTTCGAAAGAGAGATATGCAGCTCAATGTTTCTGGACAAGGATAGTGCAGAGAAGACTTGCTCTATAGGCCTCCAGATCTTGTCGGCAGTTTTGTAGCTACTCAATTTTCTGAAAGAAGTATCCTAGGGATTTAGGGTCCATTTGATAGAGCTGTTGTGAGTGAGCTTTTGAATGTAGATCTTTTATTTGTAGAAATTTCTCCAGAAGAGTTGTTACTAAAGGCTGTTGACTGCTTGGTCGTCAATTCAAAAGGTTTGTGAGCATAGAATTGACCATTTAACAACATAACTATAAAAGTGCTTTTGATGTTTAATTTAAAAGCTACATAATTATTGGACTAAACATTAATTATATATCTCATAATTGTTTTTTTGTAAATAATATTTATTTCATAAAATATAAAATCTATAAAAAT